ACTTACACTAGTGGATGGTCCCACTGTAATCCTTCCTCCTCTTGCTTCGACTCACCTGACTGCAGTATATAAGCCATCTGTCTGGCCCTGTGCTGAACTTCCTACGAAAGCAATGGACTGAACACATTGATTCCAGGCTGAGGGACTGATTACCTCAAACTCCTCCTCTCCTTATACCTTCCTGCTTTGTATTGGACTGATGAAGCCACTGTGTGGCAAAACGTTTCTTCAGTAAAGTTTCCCATGTTGCATAAGTGTCTCAACTCTTCAACTTACATAACTGTTTGAGTTGGGAGCTGTTTGAAATACGAGGTACCACTGTACTACCACAAAGAAGGACAAAGATATCTGGACCAATAATTTGGTGGGAAAAATGGAGAGTACCTCTCCAAACCCAAATCATTGGATTGTACCAATTTCTTGGAATAGAAATCAAAGGAAGAAAGGAGCAAATAGTGAAAATTTCCAAAGAAGTTAAGGATTAAGGTGAATTTTCCACATGTGTCAGATCAAGTAATACAAGCAAAGCTTGACAAGGTGATGAAGACTTTATGATGAATGTGTCAGGAGGGGAAAATATGATGACCTGAATGAAGTTTTTGATATCACAAAAGTAAATGGCCAATGGTTATCCTCTGAAGACAAACTGCAGTACCAGCTTCAAGTGGAAAGCAAAGGAGGAGTGGGGTACTCTACAGGTCAAGTTGCAAGTGAAAAAACTATTCATCTTTCTAAAAGACAAACTGTCCGCTAAATCAGCTTCAGCATCAACATCTTACGATCATGCATCGAGTGAAGAATTATGAGGAACTAAAGGCACAGTTTATTAATGGAACAGAAGAGATCCTCCATAAATCAGGATGGAGAGATATGAAGTTTTTGTACCATTTAACACAAGTGATAAGATTCTTTGAAGAAAAAGGGCATTTTCCTTTGATTAACATTCAGAAAATTCCAAACATCAGCACTGCGAGGTGGAATTCAAGAGCCATTCTAGCATTCATTCTTATACCTACAAGACGGAAGACTTTGGAGAAGATATGCAGATTCATTTCATACACCTGGGCTGATTATTGGTTTACTGGTCAGATGTACGATGAAAATGACTTCAAGAATTTGTCAGAAATAATGAAACATTACAAAAAAAGCACTGAACTAATTGAAAAATCACTGGAAGCATGAGCTGTCCACACTCAGTATAACAAGAAGTAATCAGTGTGCTGAATGTGCAATCAAAGTTATGCAGGAACTGTATGCTGCCTGGGTAAACAAAAAACTGCAACTTCGGTTTATTCTAAGCAATAAGCAGTAATATATGTACGAACATGATAACAATGATTCTGTAAGCTGTTTCATTTGTTATTAATATTACATTCAACATGCATTCAAGTTATTTGTTTTCGTTAAAAGATATTGATATGAAAGGTCGTTTCTTTGCTTTTAGACAAACGTTCATCTGATTAAGGTACAGGAATATCATGTTGTAAAAAAGTTATATCCCTAATACACACACACACACCCCTCTGGGTCTTCTTCCATTTTCTTACTAATTCTTGTTCTTGTTTATTTCCTCTTATCTCCATGGGTATGTGGAACAGAATTCTTCCTCCATAAGCCATGCATACTGTAAGAGGCAATACACAAATAACCCACACATAAAAGAGAGAAGCTTACGACGGCATTTCGGTCCGACTTGGACCATTTACAAAGTCACAAATTTACAAAGTGACTTTGTAAATGGTCCAAGTCGGACCGAAACATCATCGTAAGCTTCTCTCTTTTATGTGCGGGTTATTTGTGTATCGTTCCAGTCACAGTATTGTGCCTTTTTTTGTTATTTGTAAGAGGCGACTAACATGCCGGGAGCAAGGGGGCTAGTAACCCCTTCTGTATACATTAAAAAGATAAATTTTTGTTTTCTTTTTGGGCCACCCTGCTCCAGTGGGATGTGGCCAGTTTGTTGAAAGAAGAATACTAAAACAAGGATGGAAATAGCTTTGGCATCAGACAAAGAAAAATTGCAATAAGATATAAAAAAAGTTTACCAGTGGGCAGTGGAGAATAACATAACTTTCAACGGTGAAAAAATACAAATGAGTAGGTATGGAAAGAATGAGGAACTTATAAGGGACACTGTATACAAAATATAAGATCACCAAACAGAGTGAAAGGAACATGTGAAAGAACTAGGTGTAATAATGTCAAATGACCTTTCTTTAAAGAACACAAGAAGGCATATGTCATGTAAGCCAGGAAAATGATGGGGTGGATAATGAGAACTTTCAAAATAGGGGAAATTGTGCCAATAGTGACACTATTCAAATCATCTCTACTCTCTCACTTAGACTCTTATTCAGTGTTGATGGTTACATTCAAGGAAGGAGAGAGAACTGAGCTAGAACAGATACCGAGATCATTAATAACCCATTAAGAACCAATAAAGCATTTAAATTACTGCATCAAAGTATAAAATAAATACTCACTGGAGCAGAAAGAGGGATACCTGATAATTTATGCCTGGAAGGTACTTGAGGAATTAGTCTCAAACCTCCACACTACTATAGCAATGCAATGAGAGAGAGAGGATAAAATTTAAAATATTATTATTATCATCACACTGGCCGATTTCCACCAAGGCAGGGTGGCCCGAAAAAGAAAAACTTTCACCATCATTCACTCCATCACTGTCTTGCCAGAAGGGGGCTTTACACTAGTTTTTAAACTGCAACATTAACACCCCTCCTTCAGAGTGCAGGCACTGTACTTCCCATCTCCAGGACTCAAGTCCGGCCTGCTGGTTTCCCTGAACCCCTTCATAAATGTTACTTTGCTCACACTCCAACAGCACGTCAAGTATTAAAAACCATTCGTCTCCATTCACTCCTATCAAACACGCTCACGCACGCCTGCTGGAAGTCCAAGCCCCTCGCACACAAAACCTCCTTTACCCCCTCCCTCCAACCTTTCCTAGGCCGACCCCTACCCCGCCTTCCTTCCACTACAGACTGATACACTCTTGAAGTCATTCTGTTTCGCTCCATTCTCTCTACATGTCCGAACCACTTCAACAACCCTTCCTCAGCCCTCTGGACGACAGTTTTGGTAATCCCGCACCTCCTCCTAACTTCCAAACTACGAATTCTCTGCATTATATTCACACCACACATTGCCCTCAGACATGACATCTCCACTGCCTCCAGCCTTCTCCTTGCTGCAACATTCATCACCCATGCTTCACACCCATATAAGAGTGTTGGTAAAACTATACTCTCATACATTCCCCTCTTTGCCTCCAAAGACAAAGTTCTTTGTCTCCACAGACTCCTAAGTGCACCACTCACCCTTTTCCCCTCATCAATTCTATGATTCACCTCATCCTTCATAGACCCATCTGCTGACACGTCCACTCCCAAATATCTGAATACATTCACCTCCTCCATACTCTCTCCCTCCAATCTGATATCCAATCTTTCATCACCTAATATTTTTGTTATCCTCATAACATTACTCTTTCCTGTATTCACTTTTAATTTTCTTCTTTTGCACACCCTACCAAATTCATCCACCAATCTCTGCAACTTCTCTTCAGAATCTCCCAAGAGCACAGTGTCATCAGCAAAGAGCAACTGTGACAACTCCCACTTTATGTGTGATTCTTTATCTTTTAACTCCACGCCTCTTGTCAAGACCCTCGCATTTACTTCTCTTACAACCCCATCTATAAATATATTAAACCACGGTGACATCACACATCCTTGTCTAAGGCCTACTTTTACTGGGAAATAATTTCCCTCTTTCCTACATACTCTAACTTGAGCCTCACTATCCTCGTAAAAACTCTTCACTGCTTTCAGTAACCTACCTCCTACACCATACACCTGCAACATCTGCCACATTGCCCCCCTATCCACCCTGTCATACGCCTTTTCCAAATCCATAAATGCCACAAAGACCTCTTTAGCCTTATCTAAATACTGTTCACTTATATGTTTCACTGTAAACACCTGGTCCACACACCCCCTACCTTTCCTAAAGCCTCCTTGTTCATCTGCTATCCTATTCTCTGTCTTACTCTTAATTCTTTCAATAATAACTCTACCATACACTTTACCAGGTATACTCAACAGACTTATCCCCCTATAATTTTTGCACTCTCTTTTGTCCCCTTTGCCTTTATACAAAGGAACTATGCATGCTCTCTGCCAATCCCTAGGTACCTTACCCTCTTCCATACATTTATTAAATAATTGCACCAACCACTCCAAAACTATACCCCCACCTGCTTTTAACATTTCTATCTTTATCCAATCAATCCCGGCTGCCTTACCCCCTTTCATTTTACCTACTGCCTTATGAAAATCTGGGGTGCTGTAAGCATAATAAGAGAACACTGTATGAACATCCTTGGGCCCAAACTATTCAACATTCTACTACACATCAAAAATGCTGTAGCAACAAATGTAGTAGGCTTCAAGGGAAACTAAGCTTCTCCACCAAGTGTTGGATCAACCAGGCTGTGATGGATATGTGGGCCATAGGGCCACCAATAACAAACTGGCCCCAAGTAAGGCTGCAGTTGTAGGAAAACTCTCAAAACCCATCAATGATACATGTCAAAGATATAAAGGCATTCCTCAGATGAATCAAAGTAAAGAAAACGGTGAAGACGACAGTAATGGTGGCATAATTTTGATGTGAAAAGTTCATCAGCCTTGGTAGGTGGTGGTCAGGGTATATAACAAAACACACATTATCATCATCTTACCGGTTTGTTTTAAAATTTCTACATGTTTTCCAAGTGTCTGACTATATTATCCATTATTTACAATGGCTGCATATTATGATGTTCTGACGAAGGTCAAGAAGATGGCCTTGTCTTTCCCTCCTGCCACAATTATAATTATTCTAGTTGAATCATCTTTTCATATCCCTCATATTTATAAAGTACAAGACTTTACAAATAATTATCAGCAAGTGAATCTGTCCTCTTCTGAACCTACCTTAGTAACAGCATTTAATGCCAGCCATGAGGTCTTGAGTATTTCTTCATCTTTGTGAGTGAAGAGGTGGATGAGGCCACGTAGAAGCTGGGGTACATAGTCGCTGTAGTCTGCCCGGGTGTTGGAACAAAAAGCTAACAACAAAGCTACGGCAGCCTGAGCAACACCCAAGTTACTGCCCCTAAAGTAGAAAACACAACACAATATTACAACACAGCACAACAAATAATAGTCATGAGATCTGGCTACTCCTAATGAGAAAACTATTTTAATTAAATAATATAACTCATAAAAGTAACTTATACAGTGAAGCAAGTTATTATATGTACATCACTACACTGTTAAAACCTTGTATATTATATGTATATCTCTAAACAGTTTATTTTATCACAATGAATAAGATGCATATACAGTGGACCCTCGACCAACGATATTAATCCGTTCCTGAGAGCTCATCGTTAATCAAAATTATCGTTAGTCGAGTTAATTTTCCCCATAAGAAATAATGGAAATCAAATTAATCCGTGCAAGACACCCAAAAGTATTAAAAAAAAAAATTTTACCACATGAAATATTAATTTTAATACACACAAACTGAAGAAGACATGCACAGTTACATGACACTTACCTTTATTGAAGATCTGGTGATGATTGATGGGATGGGAGGAGAGGAAAGTGTTGATGGTGTTAGTGTTTAGAAGGGGAATCCCCTTCCATTAGGACTTGAGGTGGCAAGTCCTTTTTTGGGGTTACTTCCCTTCTTCTTTTAAAGCCACTAGGACCAGTTTGAGAGTCACTGGACCTCTGTCGTATAACATATCTGTCCATAGAGGCCTGTACCTCCCGTTCCTTTATGACATTCCTGAAGTGTTTCACAACATTGTCAGTGTCACAATTAAACACTTGTTCAGGTTTCAATTCTTCACTGTCTATGTACTCCTTGAATTCCTGCACATATTTTTCAGCTGCTTTTTGGTCCAAACTGGCAGCCTCACCATGCCTTATCACACTATGTATGCCACTACGATTCTTAAATCTCTCAAACCAACCTTTGCTGGCCTTAAATTTACTCACATCACCACTAGTTGCTGGCATTTTTCTAATTAAATCCTCATGCAACTTCCTAGCCTTTTCACATATGATCGCTTGAGAGATGCTATCTCCTGCTATTTGTTTTTCATTTATCCACACCAATAACAGTCTATCAACATCTTCTATCACTTGCAATCTCAGTTTCGAAAACATAGTTGCACCTTTGGCAAGAACAGCTTCCTTGACTGCCGTTTTCTTGGCCACAATAGTAGCGATGGTTGATTGGGGTTTTGTGTACAACCTGGCCAGCTCGGAGACACGCACTCCACTTTTATACTTAGCAATGATCTCTTTCTTCATATCCATAGTAATTCTCACCCTTTTTGCTGTAGGGTTGGCACTACAAGCTTTCTTGGGGCCCATGGTGACTCATTTTGCAGGTGCAATCACTAAAAAGGCTGTGATAATATGAAATGTTCCAATTGTATGCTTGGAAGCGACCGTGGTGGCTGGCTGGCTTGTAAACACTGCCCAGAAGTGGACACGTCTCGGATGGAACAAATAGCGTTGGTCAAATTTTTTAGCGTTAGTCGAGGCAAAATTTTTGCGTTAAAATGTATCGCTAGTCGGATTTATCGTTAATCGATGCCAACGTTGGTCGAGGGTCCACTGTATAACATTAGAATATCTTTTTTGATGAAATATTTGGCCTGTGCAACAGACTTCCTCAGTTGAATTTCTCCAGTTTAACACTTTCAAGACTCCCAAAATTAAAATGGCTGACATTGTCAGGATTTAAAAAAAAATTATCCTGAAATGGTAGAGAATCTTTTTCTGAAGCTAACAAGACTAAAAATATGAAATATGATGGAAGGTGACATAATTAAAAAAGTGCAAAGTTGGCAGTCTGGATGCAATTTATGTATTGGAGATTTCTCCCAATTTAAGTCTTACTTTAACCCTTAAACTGTCCAAACATAGATCTGTTTTTTCAACATTTGAAAGTATGTAAAAAACGTAGATCTTTTTTTTACATTTGAAAACGTGTAAAAAATTTTGATCTACGTTTTTTTTGTTATATTTGAAAATATGTAAAAAAACGTAGATCTACTTTTGGAGCACTACGCATGCGAACATAGATCTGTTTGGACAGTTTAAGGGTTAAGCCAATTCCATTGCTCAAATTAACCAAATTCTTAGCTATTTCATTAATATGCCTTGAGTTTTATGAATTGAAGACAAGAAACTGCACATTCAACTATCAGAATTACCCTATAAAGTCCACAGAAGTCGGTAATTTGGCCAATTTTACACAAAAACAAATTCCAATTTAAAAATAGAATCCAAAATAAACAATGTATGTATGCCAGTAACTAAAGCAACCTACTGTCTGTTCATATATCACATCCTCAGGCCCTCTATTTTGAACCTATCACAAAAATTAAAAGTTTTATCCTATTTCTGGGATAATGAAATAACCAGGAATGATTGGTCATGGTTTAAGGCATCCCAATAATTGAAGCAGACCTAGTAAAAACCCATAAAATAGACCAGGGTTGTAGGGGTCCATTACTGTTCAGGAAAATCCTCAAAAATCAAATATTTCCACTACTTTGGCATCAATTTCAAGCTACTTCCGGCATTCAATCTAAATTATATCTACTCAGTAGTGTGTTTTCCATTCTATCAAGAGATACCAAGAAACAGCCAATAAAGCCATAAAAACTATCCTAGAAAACACCTCTGTAGGTGTTTTAACCAAATATAAGCTAAGAGGTTTGCTTTACCCATCATGCACTGCATGAGGCAAGATTATTTTATTACCATGAACACTCACCTCACACACCCATCCTTTCATGTCTAGGTCAAAATTTACTGAGTGATGTGCTTAAAATATAGATCTACATGAGACACACTGGTGTTAATAACATAGCTCTACATAAGAAACAGTGAAAGGGTTGAAAACTGCTTCTGTATTCAACTGAAGCATCCTGCTGTACAGGTGAGATTTTGTTTAACACTTGGGTATTGAATACCAGTAATAAAGTGATTTTATCATGTTCACTTTGCATTACAAAATCACACATCTCTACAAACTAGCTCTAATTTAACTTAATAATTATAGAGGTTGGCCATCACTGACCCATCAGCCATTAATCCGGTTCCATCACCAATCCTGCACTAATTTCGGCTAGCATAATTTCGAATTTCCAGGTTGCCTCACCAACCTGCTGTTACTTGCTGCATAAACACTGTTGGTGTCATTGTTACAACCTGCTCACTTTAACCCAGCTACGGTTCCATTGAATAAAGGAAATGCTTCTCGTGTGAAGTGCAAACACCATACATCCTGCAGCACACAGTGAATAATGAGAAAAAAAAAACAGCGACCGTGTTTTTGGTGTAAAACAGCAACTTTGCAGTGTATTTTTGTATGTTTTTTATAGTTGTATTCTCATTTTTTTCATCTCATTTTATAGAATGGAAGATATATTACAGAAACAGACATGATTTTGATTGGTTTCAGGGTGGAAAGTACCCTGAAATTGAGCTCAAAGTAGCAGAAATGTTAGATTTGTGCCAATGTTCAGGAGTAAACAAATCACATGATGCATCCAATACACATCAACTGGTGGGTCTAATATGCATTCACAAATGTACTGATATTATTTATACTGTTACAATAATGCAGTAGTCTGCATAACAGTAAATCTTCTATTTTTTGTGTGAATAAAAATTCAGAATGTAAAGCAAGCATAATATAAGGTGCCTGGAGATGTGACTAATGGAGAGAAAATGTCATTTTAGTGCCAGGAATGTCTGCATGTTCATTCTGGACCCTATTTTGAAATTAGCATCTCTTGAAATTTGTGAAATTGGCCAAATTACTAATTTCTGATCACTTCATTGGGTAGCTGAAATAGGTAAACGGATGATTTCTTGTAATCAATAGACAAAATAGGAGGAATACTAGCGAAATAGCATTGAGTTTGTTTGATTCGAACAATGGAATTGGCCAAAATTAGGGTGTTTGGTGGGCAAAATCGCTGATGCGTAAATATCGCTGAGACTGCTAACTTTGCGAGAGCAAATTTCATACTTTTGGTTTCATTACCTTTGGAAAAAGATTCTCTATCATTTCATAAGATAAAATCATTTTTGTTTTTTAAATTCTTTGACACCAGGAGTAAGTGTGCAAGCAGGGGTTGCAACAGTGAAAGGGCTAATTAACTTGTACTGATTTATGGGGTATTTTAAAGGTAGCATGAGATGGTTAGCTGTTGGGGTAAGTGTATTCTAACCTAACCACTCTGTAATCCAGCAAAATCACTAATCCGGCACCCTACAGGTCCCGATGACACCAGATTAGTGATGGTCAACCTGTACTATAAATTATTATTCATTAATATTGAATTGAACATATCCACAAAAATAACATACATTTCATCACAGTTAAATAAATTATAAGAGATGTTAAAAACGTGATGTGCTTTATACAAAATTTGTTCACAATCACACAAGTTTACATATGAACGTACTTTGAATGTTGTAGTAGTTCATCCACAATGGTTGTTACTCCAGCTTCATCAGTGACAGCAAGAACAACACCCTGGCAGTGGCTCAGAGCCTCATCATACTCTGGAGTGCCGGCTGTATCACTCAGGGCACCAAGCAAGGCCACAAGTATCTTGCACAGGTGTCGTGTCAGTGTGTCACCAGCCACAGACGCAAGAATACACAGAGCTTGTGTGTTAACAGGCGGTGTAGTCAACTGTTCAGTAGACAAAATGTGTCAACCACTGAGGTAAAGATAAGCATCAATAATAAAGTTATTTCACTTGCAATGTGCCTGTGATTGCTTGTGAGGACTCTTGTACTCCAGCAGGTTAAAGTCAAGCTTCCTTGTTACTTACCAGGTCAACGAGGCTGTTGCTTCTAGCTACCTGCTAGTCCACAGAGCCATCACAACCTAACTGATGGAACACCTTCCACAATTACTGGTTAGTGTGTGTGCCACTCACTGCGCTGAATGACTCACATGGGTCTAGCACATCACAAAATATAATGTATGGTATATCTTTTGTAAGCAAGTGTACAACAGTACTTAAGATAATAAATACACCCTCCATGACCTGCTTGTATGTAGTACTGAATGTACCTGAAAAACTATATTATTACCTATCACCATATCTTTGGTGAGGGCCAGATACTATAGTGGGGATGACGGTTGTAGGAGTGGTTGTAGTCATGGTGACTGTGCTCATGGTAGTGTAGTGATGATGATTATGGGAATGGTTGTAGTCATGGAAATTGTTGTGGTGAGGGCAAAGTAGTGGTGGCAGTCATGGTGGTGGTGACTGTGCAGTAGTGGTGGCAGTGCAATAGTGGTGGCAGCAGGGTAGTGATGGCAGCAGTGTAGTGGTGGTGGCATAGAAGTGGAGGTGGCAGTGTAACAATGATGGCGTTGTAGTGGTGGTGGCAGTGAAGTGGCAGTGGCACAGTAGTGGCAGTGGCAGCATAGTGGTGGTGGCAGCATAGTGGTGGTGGCAGCATAGAGGTGGTGGCAGAGTAGTGGTGGTGGTGGCACCATAGAGGTGGTTGTATAAAGTTATAATTCTATATTTAACATACTCCTAAGGATGTATTATAAGAAAAAGAAGACAAATAAGAGATGTGATATTGGGTGTAATGACAGTACTTTGTTAGATTATGTATTGATGGAGTTAATGGGTAAACTTCAGGATGTGCAGGTTTATAGAGGGACAACAGATACATCAGATCATTATTTAGCTGTAGCTACAGTGAGAGTAAGAGGTAGATAAGAAACAAGGACACTGTCATCAAGACGTAAGAGAGAGGTGAAAGTTTCTAAACCAAAGGAGGACATAGTTAGGGTTAGATATAAACAACTACAGTAGGGCCCCACTTACACCTACCATCCGACTTATGACCTGCTCGACGTACATCCACTCGACTTACAACCGTGCATCTGGCAGCTGAGCTGGGCCGGCTGATGCACACCACTGTACAATATTTGACAATACTCGAGGCGGCAATGCGTCATGCGGGCAGCATCAGTTTGAGTAACCCTGCCCTATCAGCAGCATAATACTGTATTAACTGTACTAACTGGACAGTAAATTTCACCATGGCCCCTAAGATGAAGTCTGAATCTTGCACTGGAGATTGTGGCAAGAAAGGCTCTTACTCTCCAACTCTCTATTAGTTTTCACTGTTGTACATAAACCTGTCTGTATCTGTCTGCCTGTATATCTGTGTATCTCTGTGTGTATGTTTATCTATGTGTCTGTCTTTCTGTCTACCTGTGTGTCTATCTACCTGTGTGTCTTTGTTTACCTGTGTTTGTCTACCTGTGTGTGTCTTTCTGCCTACCTGTGTGTCTGTCTTTATGTCTACCTGTGTGTGTCTTTCTGTCTACCTGTGTGTCTTTCTGTCTACCTGTGTGTGTCTTCTGTCTACCTGTGTGCGTCTTTCTGTCTACCTGTGTGTGTCTTTCTGTCTACCTGTGTCTATCTGTCTTTCTGTCTGCTTGTCTGTCTCAGAGCCACTCATTAAGAGTGTAATTGGTCTTGAAGATGCCATATTAATAATGATAATAACACAATAATAATCACTGAGACGCATTAAATGTGTAAAAAACGTTAATATAGACATTTTGCTTAATCCATGATTTTTTTTCAAAATTATATAATAAACATGCTACATAACATATAAACATATAAATTAACAAATATGAGATGTTTTTCTGGTCCACTTGACAGAGTGAACAAAAACCATTCGTGTCCAGGCTGGCAACAACAACGTTTGTTTACATAACTCGCCAACCTTCTACACTCTCATTCGTTTATTCATTTAATCTTGTTTACTCACCTCTCACTCTACATTAAGACTACAGAGTGGACACGATTATTATATTATAGTTTAATAATAATATTATTATTAATATTAGTGCATATGTATTATTGTAATAATAATAATTATTATTAATACTACTATTATTAATTTAGGGCACTGGAGCATATCCATTGTATAGCACTTTGTCTGGATTTTTTGGGTTATCCTAGGTAATTTATACTATGTATGATAACTTCACTTGAGTGTACCTGTGTGAGAGAGAGAGAGAGAGAGAGATACAGAGAGAGAGATACAGAGAGAGAGATACAGAGAGAGAGATACAGAGAGAGAGATACAGAGAGAGAGATACAGAGAGAGAGATACAGAGAGAGAGAGATACAGAGAGAGAGATACAGAGAGAGAGATACAGAGAGAGAGATACAGAGAGAGAGATACAGAGAGAGAGATACAGAGAGAGAGATACAGAGAGAGAGATACAGAGAGAGAGATACAGAGAGAGAGATACAGAGAGAAACAGAGATACAGAGAGAAACAGAGATACAGAGAGAAACAGAGATACAGAGAGAGATAGATAAAGAGAGAGAGAGAGAGAGAGAGAGAGAGAGAGAGAGAGAGAGATACAGAGATACAGAGATAGAGAGAGATACAGAGAGAGAGAGAGCCATATTCAGTCGGCCACCCACCCACCCGGCCATTCAGCCAGCCAGCCAGTCTAATACGTATTACACATGTTCCAGAGTTGTTTCTCTTTACTTAGGGTATAGGTTATACTACATTCTGGCAGGATGACACTACCAGTGGTATTCTCCCATTCCACTGTGTAGACAATACATAAAGATAACAGTAACATATGATACTGTTTGTGATGTAAAGTTTACAATACAGTTCACTACCATGTATACATTATATACAGTACATAAATAATTAAAATATAACAATAGAAGTAAATTATGGTAAAAAGAATGAAATAATGATTGTACATTACATTACAGTACTATGTAGGTAGTTTATATAGAAAAAGTTTGACATTATGCCCTACCCAGTATGTTGGCAATTTTCGAAGGTTCGACTTACGTCCATTTTGACTTACGACCGGTTGGTCGGAACCAAGCTTGGTCGTAAGTCGGATGGTAGGTGTATATGGCAGGTTAGGTTCCAGACTAGCACCAGAAAGCGAACATCGCCAGAAAGCAAAACTCCATTTTTCCATTTCTTTCTTTCTTTCAACACACCGGCTGTATCCCAACGACGTGGGATGGCCCAAAAGGAAAAACGAAAGCTTCTCCTTTTACATTTAGTAATATATACAGGAGAAGGGGATTACTAGCCTCTTGCTCCCGGCATTTTAGTCGCCTCTTACAACACGCATGGCTTACGGAGGAAGAATTCTGTTCCACTTCCCCATGGAGGTAAGAGGAAATAAACAAGAACAAGAACTAGTAAGAAAATAGAAGAAAACCCAGAGGGGTGTGTACATATATAGTATATGCTTGTACATGGTCACAGACCGGGCCGCGGGGGGCATTGACCCCATGAACTCTCTCCAGGTAAACGTGTATGTGTAGTGTGACCTAAGCGTAAGAAGAAGTATCAAGACGTACCTGAAATTTTGCATGTTTACGAGACAGAAAAATGGACACCAGCAGTCCTACCATCATGTAAAACAACTACAGGCTTTCGTTTTACACTCCCTTGGCAGGATGGTAGTGCCTCCCTGGGCGGTTGCTGTCTACCAACCTACTATCTAGAAGTTAAGTTTATACTAACATATATTAAGTTAGCAATAGAACTAGGCATTAAAAACAGTAAAAAGTAAAATACACATACAGTGCACTCATTACTTACCTTAAAATATTTGTAGTTTTAATGTAGGGTGAGATATGAGTAGTATTTATTTGTAGGAAGTCAGGTGTGAGAGGTATGGTAGCCAGCCAGGCCAGGCCAGGCCAGGCCAGGTCACCCCACCCATTCGTAATATCCTACAACATTTAAAGTTCCCTAGAGCAATAAAATGCATATACAATACATTCATTACTTACCTTAAAATATTTGTAGTCTTAATGTAGGGTGAGAAGTGAGTAGTATTTATTTGTAGGAAGTCAGTGTGGGAGGCATGGTAGCCAGCCAGGCCAGGCCAGGCCAGCCAGGCCAGGCCACCTCACCCATATGTAATATACTATGACATTTAAAGAGTCCTAGAGTGATAAAATGCATATACAGTGCACTCATTACTTACCTTAAAATAGCTGTAGTCTTAATGTAGGGAGAGAGGTAAGTAAACGAGATAAAGCAAATAAACGAGACAGAACGAGTAAATGCGATAGGAGAGATGCGGAGGATGTAAACAAGCAGACGAATGTGTCTGGTTTTCATTCATACATGTTCATCTACACGTAACATCTCATATTTTTGATAATTTATACTATCGTGGGGTGTATTTATCATGTTTATATGTTATGTAGCATGTTTATTATATAATTTTGAAAAAAATATTATAGATGGATTAATGAAAATGTTTATACAGTGGACCCCCGGCTAACGATATTTTTTCACTCCAGAAGTATGTTCAGGTGCCAGTACTGACCGAATTTGTTCCCATAAGAAATATTGTGAAGTAGATTAGTCCATTTCAGACCCCCAAACATACACGTACAAACGCACTTACATAAATACACTTACATAATTGGTCGCATTCGGAGGTAATCGTTATGCGGGGGTCCACTGTATTTCCATATAGTCGGACTTGAGTCCTGGAAATGGGAAGTACAATGCCTGCACTCTAAAGGAGGGGTTTGGGATATTGGCAGTTTGGAGGGATATGTTGTGTATCTTTATATGTGTATGCTTCTAAACTGTTGTATTCTGAGCACCTCTGCAAAAACAGTGATAATGTGC